ACGCACGCGTGAACCTTTGGATGTTTCTCAACACAGCATGAAATATCCCCTAGCTCCACCCGGTACCCCGAAATCTTGACTTGGTCATCAGATCGGCCGATAAACTCAAGGACCCCACTCTTGTCTCTCCACTGAGCAAGGTCGCCGGTTCGGTATACTCGGATAGGTTTATCTGACGAGTCACCCAACAGAGTTGCAGAAAGAGAGATGAAATGTTTCTCATTTTCTTCATTCCGGTTAAGGTATCCTGGCGATAACTGAGGCCCCGCAATGCAGATTTCTCCAGTGTGCCCCGCCTCGGTGATGGGATTGAGGTCCTCATCAAGGAGGTAGACCGTTGTATCCCCAACAGGCCGTCCTATGCTCACGCGCGAGCGTCGCATTTCCTCTGTATCTAATCGGCCCACTGTTGCAAATATAGTCGCTTCTGCAGGGCCGTAGCCATTCCATAGATTCTCCGGAGGTGCGGCCTCAAGTACCTTACGCAGGGCACTGGAACTGACCGCCTCGCCCCCGACCACGACGTGGCGTAGTCCACGGAAAGTAGATGGCGCAGTTAACGCAACAACGTGGAATAGAGCTGTGGGCACAATCATAGTGGAAATCTTGTGCTCACGCACGAAGTCTTGCAGAGATGGTGGATCAGCACGCACAAGATCGGGTACTCGAACGATAGTCGCGCCGGCGAGCAGGGTCAGCCACATCTCGCAGACAGACATGTCGAATCCAGGGGTGATGAGGGCTGTTATTCGGTCTGAGGGAAGCAGCGGCCCGAAGGGGAAGTTATCGAGAGCGTGAAGAATACTGCTGCCGAGGACCTGGATTGGCTTAGGTCTGCCGGTGGAACCCGAGGTGAACATGATATGGCTGCGATGTGACTCCGGACTATTCATGCGAACAGTAATCTCAGTCTCCGTGTCCAGGTCGACTTTTCCTTCGAACACCGATTCGATGAGGATGGCACTCTGTTTTTGAACTCGATCGATGCTGTCTTTATCAGTGATGATATGCTTAGTGTTCAAGTCTTCCAGTATGGATCTGAGGCGATCCTCAGGCGCAGCTGGGTCGACGGGAACACAACTTCCTCCTGCGCGAAGAACGGCAACCTGGGCCATGACCTGGTGCAGTCCAGTATTGGCCACAATGCACACCGGTGTGCCAGGCTCAAAAGCCTGTTGGTCCAGTCGACCAGCAACCATGTCGGCCCGGGCGATCAGTTCCCGGTAGCTGACGACGTGGTCATCATCCACAACCGCCACAGCATCCGGAGCCGTGTTAGCCTTTTGTACCAGGATTGCTTCCATTTGTATATGTGAAGACTTCTAGATTGCAAGTAATGGGGGTGAAAGTTTTAATGAATATTCGCGATGTTATCAAACACAGAAATGCCTATATCAGACGCACAGGGATTGCTTTATACCCTACCGGACCAGATTACTGCTGAATATTTGAATTTCATCTCGTCTTCAAAACCGGCATGCAGCAATCGTCTCAACAGGATTTCAAGCAGACAGTCTTGTTTTTGCTAATGTTGATCGAGACAAGCTCCAAAACAAACCTGCAAACAAGAGGCAATGCTCTATGATCATTATTATGCAATAACTCTTGTCTTCTCCATGGACGAACCTACAATGTGGCTCAGTGAAATTTGGGGGAATTACTAAGTTATGTTCGCAGATTTTCGTTTGTAAATGAGGTGGAGAAGTGATACAACACAATGTGCTATGATCATGAAGGTATGATATTCCCAGGCTTCTGTTTCGGAAGATAGCACTTCAAACCTTAACGGAATCTCATCGAATCACTAAAGCTTATTTGCAGATCCTTACTTCTCCAGTCAATTAGAGAGTTAAATCCATACCTCAACGAGAAGCTATAGATTATTGTCATGATTAAATAATAAGAATGAAATGTCACATAGACGGACAGATCTTTGTTCGAGGGTTGCTGATCTTCTCTAAATCACACGATTTCATTCGCAGGTCTTTATGCCGACGAGGAATGATTTGCATTGCATCAATTTGACTTTGTGAATCCCGGGGAAAGGCTTCGGGTGGCAATAACATGGACTACATCATTCACCAAGTTCACTATATGCTCTCCAGCGCTTGGGCCCTCGTAGGGACATTGAGATGATTTCGTGGGAAGTGAAGGCATAGCAAGATACTTTGGAGAGTATGACAGGATTCTTGACTTCATAACTGCTGTGGGCCGCTGAAGTCTGCCAACCCACTCATGTTGCAAGATTCATCTATCTGTTTCCAGTTTTTGGAAAGCCTCACTCATATCATCACTCTGACCCAAAAGCGATGGTGCCTCTGACATGTGTGGAAATACTGTTCCAATGGATACCACTGATGATCTTTTTGCGCTCCGTCAGAGTGCCTTGAGGAAAATTGCCGCGTCGTTTCCTTTCCTTGACACTTGTCGACATCAACTTCATTGTCTGCAATACTTGTGCACAATCGCGAAAGTAACGTTGGAGTTATCAGTGGGCCTCTGAATTCTATCAGCCCAGTTGGTTAACGCGAAACCATTCTATTTGTTTCTAGATGCTGAATAACTTTATATTCCTACTCTGCAAGGATGCAGTAGTGGCCGTGACATATTCGCCATAAGTGGACCAATACAGGCAAGTAAGGATCTGCTAAAGTACTATGGAAAGGTATACCGTTCAACAATGAAGTTAAACATCATATCCCGGAGGCAAGTCTACCTATATCCTTGCTATCTGCTCCGAAACCAAAGGAGAATATACAACCCGATACAGCATCAGTTGCTATATCCGACCAAAAGGACTACTACTTGATCTAGCCAGTGATAGTCTCATGGGAAACTTTCCTCCGTACAACTAACCGAATTTGACGGATATTTCAAGCTCCCACAAAAGGGGCAGGCCGCCACTTGGGTTGACATTTCTTATCCCCGTAAACGAATGATCTACATTGCTTTTTCCACATAATTTACCTTTTAGCACCACGACTACAAGTATTTAATAGATTGTCTATGATTTTGCAGGACGGTAAACGCAGGCCTAAGGCCACTAGGAACTTTCCGCGCAGATGCTGTGTATGTGTCATCCACAATTTTTTGAACTAACGTTAGCGATACAGAGTCGGAGTCTACTTATAACTGACAGTAAGCCACACATTGTCTTGATATGGTTCGAGTAATGGATAAGTCAGAATATCCTGGAGAGGTATCTAACTTCGCGATGGGCGATCTTAAAAGCCAAGCTTATAAAGAGGTAACTAGAAAGTACTAAGAACATTGCTTTACCTGTTGACTATTATTGATCATCGGTATTAGATACTTCTTGGTACTTTCTAGCCTGCGGCAGGCGGACATGATTCCCGCCACTAGGCACTAGCAGCTGATGCCCCGCTGTTTCCCAAATCAAATCAAGGAGGGGTCAGTTGCCAGTTAGTCCAGCACGTGCAGGAGCTTCAGGAGCAACAAAGCTCGCCAGATTTTGTTCCTTTCTTTATATTCTTGAACTCACCACAACTTTCAATCCACCTCTTCAATCCCATCAACTTTCACGTTGTTATTCACTGTCCATTTTCAGCAAAGCACTAATATACCCATTGAACGATGCCTCAAACTGCTATATTTGTTATCGACATTCAGAACCATATCGCCGTTAATCCTACCTCTCGTGTTCCCCAAGCGGATCGCGTCATCCAAGCCTCTGAAGAGATCTTACAGACGGCTCGGTCCATCAAAGACTCTAATGAAAAGAGCAACAGTCCACTCATCGTTTTCATTCAGCACGAAGAGTCCGCGAATGACGGAGCCCTGGTAAAGGGGACTGAGCCCTGGGGGCTCGTCTTTAACCCCCGCGCGGATGTAGAGGGCGAAATTTTGGTTGCAAAGAAGACAGGTACAGTGCCCATTATGCTCGATGTCAATGGACATAGCTTAACGCATCATTGCATTCTACAGGGGACACATTCAAATCCAACCGCGACCTTGCGCAGAGGCTGCGCGACGCCAACGTCACTGAAATTGTCGCGTTCGGTCTGCAGAGCGATAAATGCGTTGAAGCAACATGTACCGGAGCACTGGCAGCTGGCTTCCACGTAACTGTGTTGGCTGGCGCACATTCTACCTACGATGCTGATGGAAAGACCGCCCAAGAAATCGAGCGTGAAGTTGAACTTCGCCTCTCGACACGCGGCGCTCGCGTTGTCCGGTGGGAGAAATGGGTGGAAAAGCAACAGGTTGCCTGATTCACACTCTTGTTGTTCTCGGTTTAGTTCATTTTTGTACATGTTAGAATTGCTAGGAACTTTGCCTGAAATGCGGGCTTCATCGAGATACACCATAATTGACATTATCATCACCATTTCCTTTCCTGTATATCGAGCTCAGAACATAACACGTACACCACAGGGGCAGCCAAGCTGAACAGGCCAAGTTGGAAGATCGGAGTATAGTTGCGCTTGGCGGGACTAGAATGAAGCATGTTGGAGGGGCAAGTAGGGTCTGGGCTCGGGATGCATGTCTGGGCGGGGGGAGACGCTATAGGCTCGCCCCACTTGTGCCCAGCTGATGTTCACCGATAGTCCAAAATAGTGTAGACCTGCGATCAGCCGATCCATCGGCAATCGGACATCGCAGTACCCGACATGGGGTGGTCATGTCACCTGACGGCTACGTACAAGGACGATCAGGAAGATCAGGAAATTGGGGCAACGGTCATATCCTGAGGCATCTATTCACAGGTCATCTCTATCTTGAAACCACTACTCACTGAGTGCAGAGCCTCCACTCTTTGGCTGCTATATAGCAGTAGGATACCTATTCTTTCAGGTCCCGGTGTACGGAAATGTTAGAGCTAGATACGGCATTCTCAAACATTTTATGATCAGACATTAGTGAGTACTTCAAAGACTGCTTGCTATCATTCTAGTGCACAAATTTGTAGCATACGTAAGGAGGTAAGGCCTGAAATTGTACAGGCCTTCGGAACCTGGAACTGAGAAAATCCATAAAGGTCAAACTGCTGCAAACAATTGGATAGACAATCCAAAGTGCTTGTTGACTTTGTCCGTGAACGCTTTGCAATCATCACAAGGAGCTTTATTGACCAATATGGCTGCTTTTGATAATGTAGCCGGTAGCGGTGGTGCTTCAGCCATCCTGATCAGGTCTCGACGTCTCCATCGTCGCGTATCTAGGATCTCCAGTTTGCATTCTAGCTCCCGCAATAATCGCGCGCGAGGACTAGCGTTCATCCGGTTTAGTATCGCTTCAACAGCCCTGAGTTTTGCCTCCAGTTCCTGATACTCATCGTCTTTTCTGACGAGTTCTTCCGTTTTACACATGAGCTCGTACTTCAAGTCCCGCTTGCTTTTCCGGAGACGAGTCACTTCCCGTCCTCTCTCGCTGGTTGAATAGAACCTTTCAAACTCATCCTGTGTCCTATCATATTCCTCTCCTAGTTTCGGATCCGGCAGGAGATCGCGTGGAAGGAAAACATGGCGATCGATGAAATATGCTATCAATTGCTTTTCTGCGTGGCAGGCAATATCCTCATCATGGCCATAGGAAGGAAAATGATGACCCACTATTGTGGCAATGTAAAAGACATCATCTATCCACTGGCGACCCCTAACACTGAGGGTTTGCCCAGGAACTGTTGTCAATCGGCTTATAGCAGCAACAGACGCGAATTTTCCTCCTCTTTCTAGTCGCGCTACTATCTCCTCGAATTCAGATGGTATCAACTTCCTGGTTGACTTGGGCTCTCCCATACTGGAAGACGTGAAACTATAGGACCGAGACAATGATAAAGTGGGTGGTTCTCCAAAAGCGGTCTTTGACTTTCGTCTCTCTGCGCTAAGTAGGCGAACAATTTCCCGGCGATCGAGTGCCGCTCTGGGAGTGTCCTCAAAATAGTCATCAGTACGATCGTTTCTTTCCTCTCGAAGTTCGTCATGCTCCTGAGCAAAATAAACTGCCAGTCGATTTTTGACGTCCCGGATATTGGTATCCGCACCGTGTTGTAGGAGTACTTTGACATTGTTCACCCGCCCAAAGAGCGCTGCCTCCATTAGAGCGCTCCTTCCGCCGTTATCAACAGCATTCACATCTGCTCCGTGTTCGATGAGAAGCGACAGCATCTCTGGGATACTCTCAGCTGCTGCGCGGATGAGGGTTGTTTTACCGTTGAAGGGAAACCGCCCTCGAACAAACAACTGAACCTCACTAGATGTCTCCAAGTATTCTTGAACCGCTTTAGTGTGCCCAGCAATACAGTCGCAGATAGACTGGACAATCCGTTTCTGTTTAAATGGCTGGACGTCGCATCCTAGGTCAAGCGGGAAATCTCCTAAGTCGACGGTGACTAATTCTTTTGCATCTTCTGGGATATTCATAGTAATTTCCTCTTCGTCTGCTGCGGCGGTAGTAGCCTTAGCTAGATTAGCTGCCAGCTGATCAATATCGCCATCATCATCCTCATTATCACTATCATCCGCAACACAGATATTGACGTATCGACCGCGTTTCTTGTTGATTTCGTAGGCTACCTCACCTTTCTCATTCATGGGAAAGCAGCAGAAGTATGTCTCGCTTGTTTCGCAATGAGATTTTCTGAGATTGTTTGCCTGCCAATCCAACGAGTTGACCCGATGGCGATGATCTGCTTCGCAAAATGGACATCGTACGTGATAGCAGGCTGCGTTCCACCAGATCACTTCAGCTTTTGGGAAAGTTCTCTCCATTGTGGGAGTAAGCTATTTTGTCGCTAACCGAGTCGACGAAGGTGTTTGGAGAGATAGCCTGATGGCTCGCACGAGTAGGGATTGATTGGAGGGACCAAAGAATTTCTTGAGTGAAGATAGATCAATACATCTGTCGCGAATGTCACGGGAACCTTCTATGTCAAGGATGCTCTAAAGGTATTTGAGCGGGGAAAGAGCGATTTCTCGTGACCAGAAAATTCAATACATCATCCCTGCGTGATTCTGTAAGATACTATATCACAATACGGTACATAAACCCAGACAAAGTAATCCTGGATAAAATTGAACTCTTCACTTGCCCAGACATCGAAGTTGTGCCGAACTCTTGTCCCTTCCGATAGTCAGGTTGAGTCCTATTGATAGCGTAGGGGCTGTCTTCATCAACAAGAAGGTCGATTCCAAACACATCGATGATGTAATAAAGATAAATGATGAGTTGAGTGCGGCTCTGTTGTGTCCACTTTGCTGATCTTGTGAGGCAACTCTTAGTCTCAGGTTCAATCAGAGTTCCTCGAGTGACCCTTAGGCAACCGCCCGTTCACAAGAAGACAACCCTTCGAAAATGATGTGTCATACTTCGGATTTCGTGTCTGGCATGAGCGGATGACTATCTCCACAATAAAAATTCCGACATATGAGATCCACGATACGCCTAACACACGACATCGGGTCCGGAGACAAATGCCGGGACTTGCCTAACAACTGGGAACGAGAAAGTCCAACAATAGGAGCTACTAATTGATGGAGGTTTCTCGATGACAATGATATAAGGAAGGAGAAGAGTACGTTTGGTTAGAAGAGGAATTGGTTCATCCTCATGCTCTCGCACGTTATCCAAGAATCGTTTAGTTTGTGGTGACTTGCTACGATCGCAAGGCAGCGAATCTGTCGCAGCTCTTCATACCGGGGTCGAAGATAGATGCTTGTGGGCGTCCCCTTGTAGAATTTTCAATGATTGGAATGAAGGCAAAGAAGCCACCGACAGGTGAGCAGAATCATCAGCTAATGCTCAATTTTCCTCGGTGTGGACAATAACTTGCCGAGACTGAGGCATTAGCATGCTCAGAGGTCAGCCAGGTACACGAATAAATGTCTATCAGACGCTGCAACTGATAAGTCCCCAGGTGACAAAGAGGTATCTCCCACTTTCACCAAAGGCTGGTCTGGAAATCGCGACTTCGAGAGTGGGGTCTATACGAGATACTGGACTGATGGGAGATGAGACCCGTGGGGAACCAGCAGGCCATGCAGCCAATTGATTGTCTCAAACCTGGCACCGGTGATTGCAAATATCCCTCATCAAGATAGATACTGTGCCCAGACCAAGCACAGGATGTTGTTGAGGCCTTGGGAGCTCCTCTCCGGAAGACGTCTTATCCGGCCTGCGAATCACAACATCACAACAGTTGACGGGGTCCAAGCCCAGTAACTTCCCCCGCCTTTTCCCCACAAACTCCCAATCTCCGCGTCTCCACAAAAACACGTTGGAAAAGCTGGGGAGAGGTCATGCACGGTGGGTAGTCCGAACTATCTGATTGACCATCTAAGTGATTAGGCACTGCTGGAATTTCATGTGCGCAGCCAGAGAAAGGTACCTCTCCAAGTAATGTGAATTAGGACACCCCCCCGACAATAAGGGTGCTATGACCTCGGTCCTTCATTTCCGCTGTGGGGAGCTTCACAAACACCACTACGCTCTCCTTAGCAGCTAGCTTGGAGCCAATGGTTGAGCTTCCGCCGAAAGCTTCGCATCACTCGAGAGCGGATGACGCGGGCGGGTGGCAGCATACGACATGATAGTTGGCCAGCGCGCATCTTATCATGCCTTGAACAGAGCTCCCGAGAAAGCTTGTTCGGCCGATTTTTGCTTCATATGGGTACCAAATCAACAAACACCGGTACAGAGATCGCTGGACAGAAATTTTTCTGTAAGAGATGATGGGGTGGTCGAAACCGAACATAAACCGCAGGGGAAAGTTCCCTGCTCGGTCATGTACTCCCTTTGTGGACATGTACTCCGGCAATCCCCCGCAGCAATGTGGAAATGTGCGGAGATCGAGTCTGCCGGGCATCGGCACTCAAGAGGACCGGTCGACTCACATAACCACAACGGTATCATGGAAGATGATCCCCATAAGTTCCCCACAAACTCAATTAATTCAACGGCACATCCGGATGACCGATGACGACGTTTTGTTTGCAACCCCCGTGGCAGGAAGACTGCCCGACTATTAGGTGTCGGGATCTGCGATATAAAACACGGGACGCATGTGTCTTTCTGTGGGTCATTCAGACAGACCCAGTCCTCATTTTTCTTTTCAATTCTCGCTGGCAGATTCTGGCTACTGTTGACAGGATGCGCTCATCCGCTTGGGCTTCCATAGCCACCACCGCCCTTGCGGCATTGGCAAATGCTGCAACTCCTTCCACGTTGGCGGAGCTTTGCACTGATTCCATCGTGAAGGCAGCTCTACCACCCTCTGAATTCATCCAAGGCATAACAATTGACTCGGACTCTGTGACGACCGAAGTCGTAACGAACAGCAGTTTCTCCAGCGACTTTTACCCAAGCGCCACGATTGACTATTGCAACGTCACATTCGCCTACTCCCACGATGGCATTGACGGTGACCAAGTTCTTTTGGAAATCTGGCTCCCCGCACCCACAGATTTCAAAAACCGCTGGCTCTCCACTGGCGGAGGTGGTTATGCCATCAACTCCGGAGACCAATCGTTGCCAGGTGGTGTCATGTATGGGGCCGCGTCAGGTATGACAGATGGCGGTTTTGGAGGATTCTCAAACAATGCGGACACGGCTATGCTGTTGGCGAATGGTACACTCAACTACGAGACGCTTTACATGTTTGCATACAAGGCGCATCGGGAGCTTAGCTTGCTTGGAAAGGCCCTGACCCGCAATGTTTACGGGATGAGCGACAGCGATAAGCTGTATGCGTACTATCAAGGCTGCTCTGAAGGAGGCCGCGAAGGTTGGAGTCAAGTGCAGCGATTCGGCGATGAATGGGATGGAGCCATCATTGGCGCTCCAGCATTCCGCTGGTCTTTCCAACAGACGCAACATCTGTATTCCAACGTCGTCGAGAAGACACTGTATTACTACCCACCCCCTTGTGAGCTGGACAAGATCGTCAACGAGACCATCGCTGCCTGTGATGCCATGGACGGAAAGGCAGATTGGGTAGTTGCACGGACCGATCTCTGCTTGCTCGACTTTGACATTAGTACAATCGAGGGTAAGCCCTACTCGTGCGCTGCATCGAGGGGCACCCCTGCACAGAATGGCACGGTCTCCGCCAAGGGTATCGAAGTCGCGAAAACCATCATCAATGGATTGCATGACTCCCAGGGTCGCCGTGTCTACTTTTCCTACCAGCCGACAGCCGCCTTCGATGACGCCGAGACGCAGTACAACTCCACAACAGGCCAATGGGGGCTGGATATCGATCAGCTCGGAGGCGAATACGTTGCTCTCCTGGTAGACAAGAATGGCACTACACTGGACAGTCTGGATGGAATTACCTATGACACTCTCAAGGACTGGATGATCTCCGGCTTGCAGGAATACTACAGCACCTTGCAGACCACATGGCCGGACCTCACGCCCTTCCACAATGCTGGAGGTAAAGTCATCCATTACCATGGTGATGCCGACTTCAGTATTCCCACCGCCGCATCCATCCGGTATTGGGAATCAGTACGCAGCATTATGTACCCTAATCAGGACTATAACTCCAGTGCCGAGGCGCTCAACGAGTGGTACCGTTTATACACCGTCCCAGGAGCGGGTCATTGTGCGACTAATGATGCTATGCCCAACGGCCCCTTCCCACAGACTAACATGGCTGTGATGATCGACTGGGTGGAGAATGGAGTAGTGCCTACAACGCTTAATGCGACCGTGCTCCAGGGAGAGAATGAAGGACAGAACCAGCAGCTCTGTGCTTGGCCACTGCGACCCTTGTGGACCAACAATGGCACCACCATGGAGTGCGTGTATAACCAGCGTTCAATTGACAGCTGGCATTATGACTTGGATGCGGTTCCCATGCCTGTGTACTAGGGGCTGTCTATTCGACTGGGGCCAACTTTATTTGTACATAAGATCGTTTGTCAATATAGCTGGATTCAGTGGAGGCTACTTTTCGTTTCCCAAATACATATCTGAAGGCTTGATCCTTTCTTCTCTCTTTGTTTCATTCGTCAAAGTCCGGGGTATGTAAACAGTGTAGCCAACAACCTTTGGCCGGGACTCCAACTACTTTCTACCTGCGAAAAGAAACAGTTTCCCCTCGGGACGTATAAGTGTTGACTACTTACCATCCCCATTTTCATCCTCATATCCAAAAGCAACACAAATCACAACCGGCTCATGCTAAATCACAAAGCCGAGGACTATACATAGTATGCTGAAGAAAAGGAGATCATATAAAGTCATTGGTAGTATGAAATATATGGAAAATGGAAATACGGGTCACCCCCCATCCAATAGTGATCCATCAACTTGAACCCCCCAGGTACTGCCCTTTGGAACATCCCACTCGGATCATACTTCCGACTAACCTCCTGAAGCCGTTGCTTATTTCGAGGCCCGTAAGATCCAATGGGATCTTGAAAGTCAGATGAATAGTTCATCAGTTTGAAACGAGACCCCGTCCCACGCGAAACAGCCTCGTCCTCAATTCTCCCTAGCAACAACTTCATCGAATCCAGTACCACTCCATCTTGCTCCTTATTATCCCAATACGCCAGCAACAATATCCCTATCAACGGCCCATCCGCCCGATGCAACCCCAAGACATTCCCGCCCAATTCCTTCGACTTTCTCATCAACGACACGGGATACGGCTGGAACGACATCGACAGCCGCAGTCCCTTCGTGAACCTCACCGGATCCACTACCTCAAAGAACTCACGAAATATCTTCAACAGTGTGTCCTCATCTGCCTTCACTGTCGTGTTCATATACGCACACCTTGTCTGCCTCCGATCCCTCTTCTTCACATTCGGTTTCTGACTCCAACTCTCCATCTCCACACCAGGACCCGGACTCTGACGCTGCTGCACAGACGCCACAGCCTCCGGAACCGACACCATCCCCACGTTCCGCAACTCTTGCACCTCATACGACATTCCCATGAACGGTCGGAGGGCTTTTGGAACCGCCCTTGCACGAGTATAGTACAACTTATTCTCACACAAGTACCCCCATTCACGTTGATACACAATGGTCGCTCGCAGATACATATCGCTCACATGCTGCGACGTTTGTAGGACCTTCATCAGCGCTTTGATCTGAAGTGGGAACCCGCAGCACTCATACCAGAGGCTTCCTCCAGATAAAGAGCCCTGAGGAAATGTCCGCATATCATACCGAGTGACGATTCCAAAGTTGTTGCCTCCGCCGCGCAGAGCCTCCCAGAGATCGGAATTTGTTCTCGAATTGGCATTCACAATTGTCCCATTGGCGAGCACAACCTGAAAATTGACGACATTGTCGCAGACGAAGCCTTCGCGGGATGAGAAGAGGGATAAACCACCTGGTTGGAGTTAGTCGCTATCATCATTCATGACGGGAAAAAAAAGAGAGAGAACATACCGCCTAACGCAACACCCCCAATCCCACTTTCCGTCGAAAGCGGCCCCGCAACCGCTAACCCATGGCCCGCTAGGAAATCATATACATTTCCCCAACGCTCCCCGGCCTTGATCCTTACAATTCCTTCCCGGAGCTCAATCCCCTGGAGCAGTTTCAGATCGACCGTGATCCCATTATCGAGATTCGCACATGCATGTGTCGTCTGTTGACCGCCACTCCGGACAGCGAACCTGATTTCCTCTCGATCAGTGAAAGGCTTGACGATGCTCAGAAAGCGCGACACGTCTGTTGTGTTTCGCGGACAGAAGATGCATCCTGGTTCAAATTCGCTTTCTGTGGCTGAGCTGTGGGAGTCGTTGAGGTTCTCGTAGGCAGATTGGCCGGGGGCGAGGACGAACCTTTCGGAGAATATATCCTTTAGGGCTGATTTCAAGAGAAACACCGTCATTTTTGCTGTCTTTGGTTGATTGGATTGGATGATAGGGTTGTTAGATCGGGAAGGGTGGGCGCTAATGGTCTAATGCATCGTTTTGCTGCTGTGTAACATCCATTTCTGGGAGTTGAAAGGGACTGTGGCTGGCTATATATTCAGCTACCAGTTTGAGGGGCGATCTTGCGTATACTACAGAGGGAAGAAGCCTTGACTTGTTAGGGTGTCCCCTATTGTTGGTGAAACTTGACCTCATGAAATGAACTAAATAGTGATCAGATGGCCAAGTACACCTCAGAGCGTATATCTCGTGTTGTACGCAGCCCATGCTGTCGAGTATCTTTTGGGAACGGCCCGATTGCAAGACAAAGACGCGGCCGTCAAGGTCTAATATATTACCCAATATAGAAAGCATAGCTATGTCAGATGACTCATTTGACTTACAATGGGCGCTGTACTTTGGAATCTTTATATAATTATTCCTTTATCACCTCTAGTTCTAACGCTAATTCCCGCCCCTTGCTTTGCCCTGCGGGTTCAACGGGTCTATCCGTCCCTCACCATTTATTGTGCGCTTTGTTGCCAGATTGAGCCCAAACCTTGAAAAGGTATTACTTCATTCGACAATGTAGCAAGGAGTTAGAAAGAACATCAGCCACCATGTCTTTGATTAGGGTGAGAACATCAGCCACCATGTCTTTGATTAGGGTGATAGTTCCCGAGCCAGCGATGAGGACAGCGGTTCGATTACTATCTTGGCGGGAATCCAGGTAGTACTGCGGAACATATAAGCCCAACCCAACATGATACGGGGATTGTGAAAATTATCGTGACCAGATTCTAATATCAGTCACAATATTGATGTTGTAGGGTCCATATCTGTGTAGAATAGCCGATAGACTTGAAGTCGTCTACCCACGGTTACGTACTTGATCCAATCGTCCTTTGAAATAAATGTCAGGGGAGAAGGATGAATATATGAGCCATAGAATTAAGAAGTCGAAGTCGATTAGATGTCTCAACCGGTATTCTATATTATTTATTGACCCCGAATGACCCCGAATGCCCCCCGTTCATAAAGTCATATGAGTTATCAAGAAAAAAGGATTGGCCTGGTTAGTCGCTTGCTCGGGCCTTCTCCCAGTACACACATTTGCTTGTACATCGAGCAAGATCGGATAAGCAGTATTTACTGTCCGCTCTACAATAGTCCGAGCGAGGGCGACGGATATTAAATTGACGTTCCGGCAGTACTGTTGCAGGTTTAAACCTGCCAAAATAACCATGTAGTCATGATGAGGACCATATACTTGTCCCGGTTCTCGTTTCTTTCCATGTGGTCGAGCCCCGAGTAAAGAATCATACAGTCGAAATCTGCATCTAAGGGTCGTGTACACATAAAGTTTCTCAGCTGTAGTGAGCGGAAGGTAAAAGTCTTGTCGACGCCAGCAATTAACCGCGAGGTAGGGTTTCGCAAGCAGTACGTTTCCCCAATGGCGTTAATGTTGTCCAACCAATCCGATAGGCGGGCATTACAGCACAGCAGAGTTAGATATATTGTATGTCTGTTCGTGCTGGAGGCTAGATCTGTGTGAGATGGTTTCTTGAGGATAGCGATAACTCCATTTGGAAACAAGCACCCGATCAATGAGGAAGAATGAGCATATGTGCCCAATTGAAAACTCCCCAGCGCTTCTGAGCCACCGGGTACTCTGTCGCTTGTTAGGAATATTCAATGTAAGCTTCCCTCTCAACTGCATTTTCTTCTTCCGAAGGATATAATAACACGTTATGGCGTTGTGCAAAGCGTGCCGCGGAGCCAAGTTGTGATACAGATTATTGATGTTTCTGTATTTGCTCAGTATGTATATATGATGCAAACATTTGCCCAGGCGTATACCTCGGTAGGTATATCTATGATGCGGTCGGGCACGGCCAAGGCCATGGTCCTGCAGATCATAAGACGCTTTGGCAGGTGTCGCAAGAGGGTTGCACTCTGAGTAGAATAAACAGTCTGTGGCAGGATCGAGTGACAGATGAAGTCGATTGGGAGGCGAAGTTGCTCGACGTTGACATGCATTAGCTATAAACACTGAAGATGTTTTTTCTTATGCAGTAGTTCTTGAGGGTTTCCTCTATATTGACTTGCTGTGTCAACAAATGTTTCTATGAGACCACAGAATGGTGAGGTGTGTAGTTGTTGTCTGGCTCGTTTATTTGTATCATCGAAGTTAACGATCAAGCCCGTTATATCTATATTTATCCTTTTTGTGACTGGAGTAGAAGTAGACAAAGTTATTCTCTTAGGGCTGGGTATATGTAGGCATGCAATACCATTGCCAGTCTGCGTTGGCAAACAGACATCTTCCATTGGTCCGGTACGTTTTCCTGTGTATAATGGGCTCTAGTCATCCCATGTAGGCTAAGAAGTCAATGTCAAGATAAATACTATTAAAGAAGAGAGAACGCGCATAGGTAAGGAAGATGGGGCCGGAAGGCCATTTATATAATTCTTCGTCCTCCAGAAGGTGCTTTTCACTTGAAAGAATCAATTCCCTTGTTACCTTAAATACTATCTCGTTCACCACTTCAAAGTCTCTGCGAAGCCCGGAGGGAGGGGAATCACCCTACGGCGTTGACTGGTATGCAATGGTGAATCTTGAAACTGATGAATAGTTGACGTGAAACCGGCAGTGTATTGACTTCTACAATAAAGCTCAGTGGATGATAATAAGCCTTCTCTTCACCTTGGGGCCATTAGCTCTTCTACGTGGGAACATAGGTTTGAGCCTGAAAGTGACATATATTGCTGCCTGAGGCACCTACGAACTCGCGCCCGAAAGGGGTCAGTAAGCTGGGGAATCACCAGACATGCATTCTCTACGAAACACTGATTTGACGCTAGCTTGGGAACTGTGTTTGCCCGATGGCAGCTGATCACCATAGTCGGGTCTGTTGATACAAGTGTCATTGGCTCATTGGGCGTCTTGCTGCATCGGCCTGTCGTGACAGGTTGCCTTACAGATGGGTTCGGGCCGGCGATAGTTACTCGCGGTGTTTCCTCTATTTCCTTGCGAACCTGGGCTAACAGTCTGTTGATAGTTGTATTGTCCCTCTCATATGGGTTGTCAAGACCAGTCCCTGCAGATTGTAACACAATAAGCAACGATGGGGGGCCTGATTTGAATAAGCATGAACCCTGCATAAGGGTGCTCGCAGTTGCACATGGTAGCATGTAAGCACCACTTTCATTGGCTCTTTGAGGTTTGTCAATAATACTACGCTTATAGGGCTGGAATCGCTGACTGCAGGGACTAGACAGGCGCCTGACTTTGGTGCGTGAGGCTGTAGTGACTGCTGAGTGGGAGCACTGTCATGGTCACCAGCTTGAGATTTCATTTGAAAGATGTTTTCGAACATGATAAATCTGGAAGGGAATGGTTGTATACCAATTAATTAAGCCATCTGCCCACATAGTGTTGAACCAACAAACATGGGAGCTTCTCTCCATTATGCGTTTGAATACATTCAATGTCTTACTAGGTTACACTACGAAAAGAAATTATGCTCGTATTTCGAGTGGACCCTGCATGATGGTCTGATGGGGTAACAATGTTCCCCTGTCCAAACACATCTAATAGGCGCTTAGGAAGAGTGTCAGGCGTCCAACTAGGCGTGCTACAATGTATCGATTGACCCTTCTGTTTCAGTTACTTTATCAATATGGAAACATACGGATTGGTGAGAACTGAAGTCGAAGAGCTTTGGTGTATAAGAATGAGGACGAATCCCTCCCTAACCTGAGTCTTCATCCCATTCTTCATCGAACAGTATCTCGCTCCAGCTTTGATCATACTTCCACAAGGCCCATACATCACCGTCATCATGGTCAAGACCGCCCTTCTCCCTCTCGCTCTCCTTGCTGCACTGGCTCCTTTTGCCGCCGCAAGGAACTGCAAGACTGGGCTTAACTATTGTGGATGGAACCTCCTTAACATTGGTATGTGAACTTGCCTCCCCCACCCAGCCGTCACGTCCCTAATAAGTTCCTCTTGATAGGCAAGTACGGGGCCCAGGTCAATGGCGCCCTCGATGCTGCCCACCAGCCCACCGACGATGCCCATATTCGTGAATCCCTCTTCCACTGCAACGGTGGCGATAATGGCGACATCTCTTTTATCACATACTGCGGTGGCGGCTGCAAGGATGGCGGCAAGGACCGCAGCGACTACTGCTAGAGATTTCGCTGTGGATAGGTACCTGACTCCTAACTGGTGGTGCGATATGGATGCGGGCATTGTACTTTATCTCCATCATCATCGTATTCAACATACGGTATAGTGGAGTCTTAGTCTCTAAAAAGAAAATGCAACTTTGGGGGGTTGAGCTTGGTTGCTTCCTAACATAATTAAAATATACCATGCATGATAGGAAGAAATTCACAGGTCCCCATATCACAAAGGAAACAGCGTTCATTGGAGAAGTCGATGTATCTCAACTGGGACAATCATGGGATTTCCATCACGGGAAATGTTATGGTCGGGATACGCAATGTAAGTCGGTCAGCAGCATGATACAATGGATAGTAAATTGTGTTCTTCAATTTTGAGCTCAATCACATTCTTTCGAAACCATCTCACAATGGGCCTATTTACAACAATCAAGAACCGATAACAGCCAAAGTTCGGCGTTGTCAACAAATAATATGCCGGGACCTTAAGACTCTGCCCCACCAACCATGCCCTACTTGGTCCCCGACTTCGAATCGTTAACTTTAGCCTCCGCCTCTACGCTTTTCCCCGGCTCACCCGGCGGAAATATCTCCCCATCTCACCAATTATCAGCCATGAAGACTTATCCGCACCCACATTGACTCACGTCGGCTATCCTCCTGTGCTCCACACTCCCAATGTAAGCAATTAACCCCGTAGTCGTATAAGTAGCCTCGTATCCCACCGAGCCAAGAATCCTCCATACAGAACCCATCCAAATCAAATAAAAAATACCCCAAAAATGCCATTCACAATCCGCTATGCCACCGAGCAAGATGCTCCCCACCTTGCCAACATCAACGTCGTCAGCTTCAACCGCCAGGCATCATGGTCCGCGTTGTTCCCAAACGTCGACATTCCCGGAACTTTGCCACTCAAAACAGCCCGTTGTCTAGACAAGCTCAGATCGCCGCAAGTGCATGTTCTGGTAGCCGTTGATGATGATTCGGGCAAAGTTATTGGGTACTCTCGATGGCAGTTTCCGAAGGATTACGAAACGAGCGTTGTTGAATTGTCCTCCGAGGGCTTGGATGCACTATCGGCTCATGACGATGGGAAAGCGTACCCAGAAGGTCTCAATATGGAGGCTTATCAAGCATTTAAGGATCTCCTGGCTGATTTGCAGCGGGCACATTTTGAGGAGGGTGATATCAGTATGTTGAATACTCGCTCTTATATTTATCATTGCGGTACTTTAAAGATTGGCTGTATTCATGTACTGACTACAGCAGTGTTGGAATTCCTTGCTACTTTGCCGGAAGCTCAAGGTAATGGTGTCGGAACGGAATTGTTGAAATGGGGTATTGAGCGTGCTGATGCAAGAAATGCTCGAGTGTATTTGGAGGCTACAAAGGATGGGTATCCGCTTTATTGGAAGCATGGGTGGCGGGATCTGCAGGTGGCAGGGTTGGATTTCACGATGTATGGGAGCACAGGGTCGCAGGAATGGGTTGCTATGCGGAGGGATAGGATGAGGCCTGTTGCTGAATGAGATGTTTGCATTTTAGCTTGTTCTTGAAACTGCTTAGACTGTTGATGACAAATGATACTCAAGTAGTAGATCTCAGGCATTGAAGATACATTAATGGATCATGAACAATCAATATATGGAAATACTATAAAAGATACTCTCAACTCAACACCTACCGTATACGTATGCTGGTGACAGGCTCTGGACTTCTCATTAGAAGCACTCGTGCGGAGGACTGAGGAAGCCTATCAATTTGTAGTGTGGCAAAAGCAGGTGCGGTGCTTCTTTGACTTAAGAACTAGGACCTTCGACATTCTAAAAAGCCTGTGGTAACTCGATATATGAGTTTGAGAGGAGATAGGAGATAGGACCAGTGTGAGTACAACTTCGACTTCGGCCCCATATACTCGAAAACTAGATATCTGCATGGTGCTATTCGAACTCACATGGCGAATTACAATTCTTTAGACCTAGCATGTTACAGCAATTTACTAGTATACTGCATGGCAAGTCTTTAGTTTGATTTCACTTGATCATCTCCAAGTTCTAGGGGGTGAATCCCATATTCACCATGGCAAAAAGCTTCAATTAAGACATTAACCACCTGCCTTCCTCAACTCGAGCCATCCCCTGTCTCTTGATCTTTCTTCTTATAAATACCCCCTCTGCCTTTGTCTCCTATCTTCCTCTTTCGTAATTCTCTCATAATCTATCTTTCCCTGATTATAAGTATACTAGAGATATCTTTTTACTGGCTAGGTGTCCTTGCAATTCTACCTTATTCAGTGGTCGAAGGATACGCATAGTCTGTGTCTACTAGAAGAAAATTTTCTATATGGTATTCAATAATACCCCATTAATGCCATCTTAAGTATTCATTATCTCAGGTTGAAGCGCAAACCATGTCATCTTGCTGCAGCAATATTTCAATCTGGCAGTATATGTGACGAAAAATGAGAACATCTGGTAAACGCGTAATCTGCTTGCAAGAGGCCTAGAAGCTCGTCTTGTTTGGAAACAAACTCGAAAAGGCAACATACAACCATGTCACTACTAATGGTTAAAAAATCGCCGATAGAAAACGTCAGCTGCTCCCAGAAGATGCCTCCCATGAGGCTATACTCTAACTGACCCGCAGAATACTGGAAAATATCTCGGAAGCCTAAGAAAGAGGCATGGAAATGTCCTGTTAATGGCTCGCCGTTTACCTCCAATGCACCAAGCCCAGCATACTCTGAGACCTTGCCAGAAAGTTTTAGTTATACCCATAATTTATACAGGTATTAATGTATCGATGCCGGAAAGCAGACTGTATTTTTTCGGCATATGCTTTATCAAGTATCTGGCGCTTATTTCTGTCTTCTATGAAAAACGAGCAATTTATTAATGATGGTAAGTTTTCTTAGAGCGCACAGTTGAATATACTGATGGGAGAACTGTTATTCCTGCTTTATATGGCCTGACAGTAATTAGAACACATATGAATACTGCAGTGTCCTGCTCAACCGTTGTGCAGAGACCTGTTCATAGGGAGGAGAACCGAAGTCTCTCTATCATGACATCTCTTTAAGTAACGCACACTTTTCTGCACTTGTTATGTCTGGTGGACGAAAGATGAAGTAAACCTTTCCACGCCTATGCTATAGGGCGCTACCTTATATGTTAAAAGGTAGGCTAACATATCACAGCTACGCCGGCTTATCCGACAAGCCATCTTGGGCCCGTATGTCACTTAATCAGCATATATTCTGCATATGCTAACAATACGAATGAGACCAATCCCGATACCAATGCAGCCCTGAGCCCCTCAGCGCGACCTTTGCTGGCATGCAAGCAGTTCTGAACGAACACGGCCTTCCGTTTAACATTGGGAAGAAAGATCTCCGCGATTTTATGCCATGGACGCTGGCCGACCTTCGCGACAACATACTCCTGGAGTACGGTGCCCAGCGCGCCCGTGTTGCTCTCGCCGCCCTCGCAAGACCATTTGAAGACTATGTTCGTGACTTTCTGCGCCTGATCGACGAAGCGCTCACTGAGGAGGATGCTGGTGTGTGAGTATGTTCCTCACTGTGACAAGCATCCCCTGGCTGACATGGACTCTGTTTGATTATAGCGTGGCTTGTGAGTCGATGATGTTCTGTACCTCATTGATACGCAGTGGAGAATCCATCCAAAGCTAATATTGGCTTTGAAGAAAAGATCGCCGGAGAGAAGTAAGTTAGATCTACGCATCAGTTTAGCATATGCTAACAGATACAGCGCTCTGAAGCACTGGGTATTGTCCCGCGGCTGGCAGCAAGCCAGATACCTCCATGAACCCAAGTATGTGTTTCACATATGCTGAGCTTATATCTGAGAGAGATATGTCTAACATATGCAGAAATAAGATCTCTCACGAGTCTGCCGTGTGGCGCCATACTGAAGCCTGCGAGGAGTTAGCGTGAGTTATTATACCTCGCATATACCCTGCATATACCAAGCTAAGAGAAAACAGGTCCATTGACAAAGGATTTCGGGAGAGGTTTGGTGACATTTTTTATCGCGTAAGTACATTCTCCATATATACAGTATATATGCTACTGTTACTATAGCAGGATGCCGTGTCCGCCCCTGTGACCCCCAAGGTAAGTCCCCCCATATATAATACTGAATATATACAGAAACTGAGGACCACTTCTTCTGCAAACCTAAGAAAAAGAAAGGTCCCGCACCTGCAAGCAATACCGGAGACATAGCGTACGCGTCGAACTGTGCTTTCTGAGTAATACAAATTCTCGACGCTGAAATAGGAACTTCAATCTATTGAGACGCTCGGTCTCAAAGCACTTGCGGGACTATACCGGATATACATTCTTTCTATAGCATCGATGATGGTCTTTAACAACCATTAGTGCAGGCAATAGCCGAAAAAGGTGGGTCTTGACTGAGTGCCCCATGGCCATAGAACCACGGGGGATCCAGCATATGTATAGATTCGGAAACGCAATTTCGGGTTCCTAAGAAATATCTCTACAGACACAATCTGAAAGCTCGCATAGCTTCACGCACCATTGCCCTCCGTAGTAATTTCGCGTGGGGGCATATAGTACAACAGAGATTGTTAGTGAGAGTCAGATAAGATTGAGAAACCTAATGCAGCATCACGCGGAGAACTACTCTAACTTCTACCACACACACCTCCGCACTCCCAGATACTTGCCATTTTATTTGGTCATCGATAAAACCCCTTGTTAACTAACAACATGATGAACGAAGAAAACCGGGATATTGGGTAATGGGGGCTGCTAAACGACATGCTAGAAAGATTACCTAGATAAAAGCATTACAAATATGGGGACATTGAAAGGCTTCTGATAGGAAATTCAAAACTGGGTTTCCATGTCCACACTAAGAACTTCATCTGACTGTGCACAGAGCGCACTAGTGTACTGAGCCGAAGCACAAGACGAGACGACGCATTTATGCCCAGTAGAAAAGGCAATGTCGATCCAAGCGAGCCGACCGATGTGTTCTACTTCTCAACCTGGCCATGCAATCACATCAATTCTTGCTTACGTATCTGGCTTCACTGCCACTGCAGCTTGGACACGATGGTTGGAAGATCGGATGGTCTCATGCGCTGTCTGTGCGTCTGTGACTCAAATGATCTAGATGAAGAGTCAAGGGCGCTATACCAACTTCAAGAATAGCATACACTGCAGTATAGTACTAACTCGTGTGTCTTTGATAGTCGTCGCAAGTGCGTTAGTTGTTCGAGATCTCTCCGTTGGGCCGGGAAGGCGGATATTATACGGCCCGAGTGGACATCAGTTATAAGAAATGGCACGATTTGCCCTGAAGCCATTTCTGCTAACGCAATCCAGGGTATTGCTGGCATAAGGATCATGATGGTATCGAGGCTCGTCCTCAACTCAGATAATTGTGTCTATAAAACACTACTTTGAGATTAAACGATTAGATTGTCCACTGCAAATCCTCCCCAGAATATCCAGATGTATATGACTCGTACCGCACTTAGTCGAAATAGCAATTAACATATAATAACCACAGCTACCTACACATAGTAGTATTTGGCTTGCTCTAAGGGTGTCTCTCTCAAGTAAATCATGATGATCATAGAGGTGTCATCTGACTACCTTGTTTCTATGACCGCCCCTCACCACCTCTTTTTCCTTTTCGTCATCTTCATGTTGTCCCTCACTCATCCTATTCGCATCGAACTACGATGGTCTACAGATAATGTAAGGATCAAGAACAATGCCATTTCATGATGTTCCATTGTCAAAACCGCCATGCTGGACGCACAATCTCACCAAATGCTGTTAAATAGCTCCTCTGCGGTTCAGGTACAAGACTTCCTCCACATTTGACCACAGTCGAACCCATTGATTCATGGTGTGTCGGCCACGTTGTACACCAACTTCTGTCCACTGACCTTGCCATCCTTCATATCCTGCAGACCCTCCAATACTCCCTGAAGTCCCCGTGGCCCCAGCTTGACAGGATGAGGCTTGACCTTTCCCTCCGCAAGGAAAATGGCTGCCTTGCTCATGAATTGTCCCGCAAACTCTCGATCCTCCGGCTTCGCAGGAATGATGCCACCACCAAAATCAAAATCCTCGCCAAAAGCAGTGTATCCTATGGTGAAAAGACTGCGGACGTCATCACGGGGAACGTTCACCTTCAGCAAGGCAGAATAATCTCCGCCCTTGCTAGAGATCACTTCGCCACAGAACTTAGCGCTAGACTCAACAGCAACAGTGTCGAATACCAGCTTCAGACTGTCCTGTGCGTATTTCTTGATGGCCTGGACTGCATTCGCATCTTTATAATCGAACACTGCATCTGCACCCAGACTCTTCACAAGATCGAAGTTCTGCGCGGAACATGTCGTCAACACAGTGTACCCCGACAACTTGGCATACTGAATGGCTAGGGTACCGGTGGCTGTGGAGCCACCGTAGATGAGAATCAGCTCAGGCTGTGCTAGTGGGGCGTCTGGTGGTGCGAGCTTCAGACTCTGATACAGGCCCTGGCCCACCGTGATTGTCCCCAAGCCGAGGGTTGAAGCTTCTTCAAAGCTGAGACGGTCGGGGATGGCGATCTGGAGATCGGCCTTCGGGATACAGTATTCGGCAAAGGCGCCACTCTCCGGGTTGTTGGAATTGCATCCTTGAACCCAACCGCAAACACGGTCGCCCTTGCGAAAGGCTTTCTTGACGCCCTTGCCGACCTCTTCGACGACACCGGAGTAATCATTTCCAATGACTTGTCCAGGAGGTTTTCGATCGGCGCTCTTCCAGTCGGTAGGGTTCAGAGCAACACTAGCTGTTTTGACAAGAAGGCAGTCGTCGGGCACAGTAGGGATCGGACGTTCCACCACGTCGCGACTGCCGGGTGCAGTGATCACGAGGGCTTTCTGCATGATGGGATGAGATACGAAGTTATGGTGTATTGCGAGGAAGTAGGTGAGATTTACAGACAAAGACGAGCGGGGGTCAGAGAGGGGGTTAATAAATGTTACATGACTGCTGATTATAACGTCACAGCTTCTTTGCCAGACTAGTTATGTCCTTGTTATCTCCGCTTCACTGAATGGATGACAGCTAAGCATTGTATTATTAATCGGTGCCATTAATAATCCACGATGCTATGGCCTTCTAAGGCTGGCTTACTGCGATGTGATTCGACACCGGGATTCGCTAACCAGCGCCGGTCCCGAAATGGATCCGTTCAGTAGATTTAGCTTCTCTCCAACCGATCCATGTTCTCCAACATTCAACTATCTACCTCTGTTCCATTCTTCTGCAACTCACTGCTATTGATGTCGGCCCGGCCCAATGACATTCCTCGCGTGGCCAACTTCGTCTCTGCCCAATCCAGCCCGACCGACTCCCCGTCCGCACCTCCGCCAGCGGGAATGACGCCGCCTCCCCGAGAGCGGGTCCCACGGGCCTGTGAACACTGCCGGGCCCGCAAGATCAAGTGCAATGGCCAGCTGCCGTGCAATGCCTGCGCGCGCCATCCAGAACGATGTCTCTACCGGACAGGAAGCATCCGCCAGAGAAAGAACCGTCGCACCAAGGAAGCCCCGCGACCACCAGCTACCCTACTCCCTCTCCCAACCACCGATTCGCCAACTACTCCAAGTGACTGGTCCCACACCAGTCTAAGCGATGGCCCGGCGCAGTATAAGCGACATCATGAGCTCCGCGCTGGTATTGGCGTACAGAACCCAGAGACAGGGGCATTCCAGTTCTATGGTAATTCTCATACCCTATATCTGTTTGACGGACTCTGTTAACCCACGAAGGACCCTCCTCCGGCTTCTGCTTCATTCATCGGGTCTACCAACGCATTAAGCAAGGCTCATCTAGTGAGCCGCTGCTTGCTCGTCGTAGCTGCTCCATTCCAGATGCCATCCACCGATTTGGTCTGGAGCGCTTCATGTTTGCCCGGCCAGGGGACTCGGATCCGCGGCGGACTCATTTTCCATCTCAGATGTTCCTCCCAAGGGAGCTGGGTGACCAATTCATCGAGGCCTATTTCCGCATTATGCACCCACAAATACCCATATTAATAATGTCCGAGATTGTTGATGCTTGGAACCAAATGTGGGAAACTCCTGTTCGAGATCATAGTGTCAAAAACCAGGATATCCTATTTATGGTGCTGGCTATCGGCGCTCGGATCGCCAATCTGAGGGGGAAGCAATCTGAAAGCAGTGTCGAGGCCTGGGCTGATTACTTCTCCAGCCGAGTGTCCGAGGGGCCCATCTTTCTGCAGGAACCGAGCATCCGGGGTGTACACTTGATGCTGTTGAAGGTACGTCACCAGAATCTGCCAATGAAGCTCGCTAACTCAATAATAAGTCAATGTACGCTTTGCAGCTAATGCGACAAAATGATGCTTATCTCTACTTGGGTCATGCCACCCGCACATGCCTCGTACTAGGTCTGCACCGGGCCCAGGTCACCGATGGTCGCGATCCCAACGTGCATCGGCTGCGATTGACCTTCTGGACGACATTCTTCTGCGAGCGCATATCTTCGCTGTATATGGGTCGTCCGTCGAGCCTTTCTGACCGACAAATCGACACAGCATATCCTGAAGACCTGCCGCAAAATATTTATGACAGTACTTGCGCGCCTATGCAAGAATGTGCGTTCATCCGAGCGATGGGTGAGATTTCTAAGCTGGCGGATCGCATCTCTATTGAGATATATTCGCCGGCCAGCATAAAAAGTCCCACGGACCTGGACAAGCTCAATCAAATCAGCATTGAATGCGACCATGCCCTCCAAGCTGTCACACCGACACTGCCCAGTTACCTGCACTTCTTCGATGACACTGTCCCTATTGGTGAGCCGTGGCAGGAGATTCAACGCGTGAGCCTTGGATTCTGCTACTACGTCGTCCGGATGCTTCTCTCCCGCCCGGCACTGGTGCTCACTACATTCTTCACCTCGGTACAAGAAGCCCAATTTGCCACTGGCTGCTCCGAGCTCCAGGCCTGCATCAATTCATCGACTTCTGCGGCCCGGAATTTGATTCACCTGGCCCATGATGTCTATTTCCGTCGCTTCCCAGATATTCGCTATGATGGAGCTTTGGCCTCGTTTCTTGTATCTGCGACATTGACTCTTTTATATGATGTGCTTAACTTAGGAACGGATCCGGACCGAGCCAGGCAGACCTTCACGGTCGTTGAAAAGGCAATAAAGTGTCTAGATGA